CTGAGAAGAACGAGGGAAGTCTTCCTAGAAGATGTTCAGCTCAGTAAGAGGAGGTGAAGCAGGTCTGATGGGCAGAAGTAACAGTGTGAGCAAAAGCAGGAAGGCAGGAAAGTACAAGGAATGTTGGGTGAATAGTCTAGTTTAGCTGGAATTCACAGAATGGGTGTAGTATGAGATAAGGCTACCCACCTTTCTCCCACCCTAAACTTATTAGCATTTTCCACCTTGAGCACTTATCACACAGTGTCCATGTAGATCTTTAATGAGTCTTTGTTGAATGGAACTGAAAAGAAAGACAAGTTGGAGTAAAATTGTGAAAGGCCTTGAATGTCACTACAATGAGTGTGGGCTTTAACCTGGTAAGCAATGGAAAGCCACTGAAGGATTTTGAGCAGGAGAATGGTGTGATCAGTCATGCATTAGGAGGGACCTCTGTGCAGGATGGACCAAAACAGTTAAGACGCTAGGCAGAACAGTTAAGACTATTACAACAGTCCAGCTGAGAGATCCTCCTTTACTTTGGTATCTGAGGAAGAGAAGCTTCTTCACTTGCCCAGGCCAATGCCTTCTATTTGTATCCACACCTCCATCTCCATTGTGTCTCCTCTAGTAGCTGATGCCACAGATTGTTTCCTTTCTCTCATCTTCAGCCTCTCCCTACAAGCATGCTCAAGTCTACCCCATCATGTCTGTCTGTCTGTCTCTCTCTCCTCTGTTTCACTGACAAACTCCTAGAAAGAACATGCCACACTCATTGCTTCTACTTCCTCACCACCTATTCCCTTCTCAACTCATTGAATTTTGGCTTCTAAGCCTCACCATTCTACTGAAATGACCTCCATGGCATTACCAATGATTTAACTGATAAATCAGTTCGTATCTTGTCTTACCTGTTGGCAGTTTCTGATGCTGCTGATCACACTCTTTTGAACAATTTCTTCTTCCTTGGCTTCTCTCCTGTTTTTCCTCCTACCATCTGACTGCTTCTTCTCTGTCTCCTTTCTGGGATCATCCTCTATCTCCTGCTCTCTTTCCATGAATATTTCCTAATGCTATGTCTTGGACCCTTTTCTATCTATACATTTCCACCCTTGGCTATCTTCTTCTGCTCCCATGGGTTCAAATATCAACTCTACACAGATGATTCCCAAATCCATAATATAAACATAACCCTAATCTCTCTCCTACACTCCAGCGCTAAATCAACAAATACTTGCTGGATAGCTCTTCCTGGATGTACTGTAGTCATCTCAAACCTAACATGTTCAACTTGGTCCCTTAAACCTGGCCCCCTCCAAATTTCCCCATTTTTTGTAAGGGTACCACCATCTTCTCAGGCATTCAGGTTTATAACTCTAGTCATCCTTGCCTTTTTACCACCACTGCCTTTCCACAGAAAATGAATTATCTTGTCAACTCTACGTCCACCTCATCTTTCACATGCATCCCTTTTCTACTCATACAGAGCTAACAGGCTAGTTCAGACCCTCATCATCTTGACCACAGTTAACAGCCTCATTAGTCTGCTTCTTGTCTTTCTCCTCTCCCATCCACTCTTCTCCAACGAGTTGTCAAAATCATCTTCCCAAGACACAGTTCTCAATGTTACGTCCCTGCTCAAAAACTTTCCAGGTTTTTTCCTTCTACTCCTCAACTTGACATTTCAGGCTCCACATAATCTAGCTCCTGACTACGACTCCCATGTGTGAACTCTATTGACTAGCCGAACGGGACTATGAGATTTTCTCTGAACTTGATGCGCCATCTCCCACACCCATACATTCACACAAGCTACCTTCCACATCTGTCAACATCCAATCAACAAGCATTCTTTAAGCACTTACTACGTGCCAGGCTCAGTACTTAGCTCTGGGGAAACAAAGAAAGGTCTACATTCTAATGGAGGAAATAACATGAAATAACTATTTATACACAAGACATATACAGTGTCTGACCCTGGGCAAGTCACTTAACCCTAATTGCCTCGCCAAAAAAAAAAAAAAAAGAAGACATATATAGTGTAAATAAGATATAATCTTAGAGGGAAGGCACTAAGTGAGTGGGAGGAAATAGGATCCTGCAAAGGCCTCTTCTAGAAAGTGGGATTTGAGCTGCGTTTTAAAGAAAGCCAGGAAAGTCAGGAAAAAGAGGTAATGAGAGAGAACATTTCACGTACAGGAACCCAAAGCATGGAGTCAGTAGAGGGAAAGTCAAGTTCAGAAAAGAGGACATACATGGGAGATACTGTGAAGATAGAAACAATAAGACTTGGCAACAAACTGGAGGGGCAAATGGGGGGAAGCACAAGTGAGGATCTGAGGATGATACAGAGGTTGCAAACCTGATTGACTATACTGAGTGACAGTAACAGTGAAACTTAGAAGAGGACAAGGCTTGGAAGGAAAGATAGGGAATTCTGCTTTGGACAGGCTTAGTTTGAGATGTCTTCAGAATATCCAGCTCAAGATGTCCAATAAGCATTGGTGATATGAGACTGGAAGTCAGGAGAGAGGTTAAAATTGATAAATATATCCGAGAATGATCTGCATAGAGATGATAATTGAACCTAAGGAAGCTCATGATGACACCAGGTAAACTGAACACCCACAGTGAGCATGACCTAAATGAAGGTTCAGCAAAGGAGACTAAGAAGGAACATTCAGACAGATAGGAGGAAAACCAGGAGAGAAGAGTGTTATAAAAACCTAGAAAAGAGTAGTCAGGCGAAGAGGGTGATTGAGCAGTGTCAAAGACTGCAGAGACGTTAAGAGATCAGGGTGAGAACTAAGAAAAAGCCATTAGATCTGACAACTGAGATATCGTTGCTAATTTTGGATACAGCAGTTTCAGTTGAATGATGAGGACCGAAGTCAGACTGAAGAGAATTTAGAAGAGAGGGAGAGGAGAAGATGTGGAGGCACCAATTGTGAATGGCTTTCTTGAGGAATTTAGCCATGAAAAAGAGGAGACATACAAGATGACAGCTTGCAGGGACTGTCAAATCAAGTGAGGGTTTTCTTAAGGATGAGGAGAGACGTGTGTTTTTGTAGAAAGCAGGAAAACAGCTTGTTGATAGGGAGAGAGTGAAGACTTGTGAGAGAGTGGGGATGATTAGAGGAGGGGGAGGGGGAGAATGTGGTAACTTACTGGAAAATACAGGATGGGATGGAAAGCCAGTTTGGATTCCAAAGATAATTTTAATCATTAGGATCTAGAGAACACTAATAGAAAAGAAGATGCTTGGAATGGGATTGCTTAGGAGTGTAGAGGGGTTTGTTTTGCAAAAGGAAGGGATTAGACAGGAAGGTGAAGGAAGAGATGGGAGAGAAGACATCTGAGTGATGTACATGAAGTGGATGGGAGAAGATAGAGCTCTTGGCAAATGACCTTAATTGTTTTGGTGAAACATGAGGCAAAGTCCTCAACAGAGAAAGCAGAGAGTTGGTATGTGATTGGATAGGGGAGGGAAGAGCAAAAGATGAGTATGGTTAGGAGTATGGATGATTAGGCTCCTCTAGTCAAGCATCAGTGAGAAGAAACATTTTCTTCTCCATTATATATACCATCTGAAATAAACACGCTGGGGCTTTAACATCAGATATGTCCCTCTTTGGCTACCTAAACGTACCATTGTGCAGATGGCATTAACTCTTTTGTCTTACCAGCCTAAGATACCCAGTATACCAAAAAACATCAGTTCCAGATGAGGAACTGAGGACTCCAATATCTACCAAGTGTTCAGAACACTGCTAGGGGTTATAAGATACAGAGGTATAAAACAGTTATTGCCTTACAGGAACTTGCAATCTTGCTGGGGAAAGTCAGTCGCATTAACCCAAGAATATCACAGAATAATACAGAACAGTCAAGTGTATGGTATAGCTTAGTCTTCAAGGAGTTCAGAAAAGACAGAGATCAGGAAAGGCTCCATGGAGGAGGTAAAACTTGAAGACTGCATGGATTTGTAGAGCAAGAAAAGAAAAGTGTACTGGGCAAAAGAACAGTAATAAAAGGGAAAATGACCTCAACATGTTTATGAGGCAGTAGAGGCCAAGATGATGCTAGAGAAGAGGAAGGGTCCCACATACTATTTAAAACTGAGTATCTCAAATGAACAGGCAATCAGTTGAAGTTACCCATCCAATAAAGGTAGGAAGGCATTTAGAAAGGGAAAAACATCCTGCCTACTTTGTCATAACTCTTCATAAACATACTCATTTCCTTCCCTGCAGATCGCCAAATCCACTCTCACTATTTTGACTATAGGGAGGAGGGTACAGGGAAAAGAAGGGCTGCATGAAGGGAGAGCTGAAAATAATAAAAATTCTAATTGAACATGTGGGCGTTGAAGGTAAATTCCACTTAAAAGATAAAACTGCAAATCACAACAGCTACATCTTCAAACTTAAGGGTAGTATTTTAATGTAGTCATCCATATTAATCTGGTGTAGGAGAAGGATGAAGATCCAGTGGATGCGAGTGTGCTACCAGTGGCCCTGCGCCAGGTCATTATGCTGAAGGACCACATGGGTTCAAACACAAACCACACTGCTCCCCCAAATCTGACTTATGTGAACTATGACTGGTGTTACTTTTCAGTGTACAGCTACTTATTTTGTTCCTTCCAAAGGAGACTGCATCTTATGGGTGTGGCCTATATTTAGACCAACACAATGGTTCAGTGGTGTGAAGAAGAGGTTGGAGGCAGGCAAAGACTGGAGTCAGAGACACCAATTAGGAGGCTCTCAGGACATTCCAGGTGAGAGGTGATGAAGATTTAGCCCTGGTGATAATAGTAGAGGGCATTATTTTTTGTAAATTCTGGCCTCTTGAATTCATGAACAAAGACAGAAATTTAGAGGAGAGAGAGGGACCTAAAACAGACAAGTGATCACGTAGCAAAATGGACAATAAACTTAAGAGGACAAAGAGTTTCAGTGTCAAGGGTTCAAGAGAGGAAGTGCAGCCCTATTCTCCAGAGCTGAGTGTGAAGCGCTCACCTTTAATGATGTGTCGGACAATCTTGATGGAGCTTCCACGCATGTTCAGGATCTGATGTACCCTTTGGCGAATCTGACAAAGAAGAAAAAAAAAAAAGAAAAAGATTAATTTTTCTTGGCAGACTATCTTAGCAAAGCTCTTTCTCCTCCAGCCAATGTGCTAAGGATGGTGCCTGTGGAAAAATAAGGGCAGTACAAGGACAGAGCAAGGATGGGATCAGTCTCAATATTGTTCTTTCGAGATGATCTACACACGTCAAAAAGGAAGAAGCACAGAAAGGTCTTTACCTGGGGGACACTGGCATTACAGATCTCTGCCATGATGTAACAGATGTGTTGCAGGACAAAGAGCCCAGCATCTAAGCGACGGAGATAGAATTCATCTTCTATGTCATCATCAATGATCTCTCCTCGTCGCACCATGTCCTGAAAACAAATTAAAGTCCAAGAATAAGCACAGGGATAGAGACAGGAACAACAGGCAATTCTCTTACAAACTTAACCCATTCGTTCCAGTCTCACCAAAACCAAACTAGCTGGCCTTTTGGTCATGTCAGATGTTTCTTGACAATTTTCAACTGTGTGCATAAACCCCCAATACTGTGTTTAACAGCAGTTATCAAACTTTGTGGTCTCAGGACCCTTATACTCTTAATTACTGAGGAAGAGCTTTTGTTACGTTATATCTGTTGGTATTTAACATATTAAAAATTAAAACATCTTAGTATTATTATTAAAACAGTTTTTACTTTGGGATCCCTCAGACCACATTTTGAGAACTGTTGGTGTATATTACGTTATTATTTTACATAACACATCTAGATGAAGTCACTCATTCCTATGAGTTCAATGATCAATCACAAGACACACAAATCTACTTATCCCAACTTGCTCTCATTATACTCCTTCCACTCAAGTCCATCCTGCATAATATTCTTTGATAAGACATCCTGCTGTGTCATGATGACTGAAAGACAACTACTGGTCAAGGACTGAAACATGAAAAGGACTTATCAAAAGGCTCACATTGGATTAGGTTTAAGATGGAAGAAAATAAATTCCTAAAGGAATGTCCACTTAGGCTAGTTTCACGTTCAAAATGTATGTCTTCTTTTAGCTATAATGAGAGAAGGGATAATAATAGTTCAAATTTATTTAGCATTTTCTTGTTTGCCAAGTATTTAAACATATTATCTCATTTAATCCTCACAACCCCATAAGTATTTATTATTATTATCATTGTATTGTCATTCCTAGACAGTGCCTGAACATAGTACACATTTAAGAAATACTTGTTGACTGACTTGTTGACTGATTTCCATTTTACAGATTAAGTAAACTAAGGCTCAAAGAGGTTAAGTGATCTACTCAGAGTCACAGGGTATCTGAGTATCTGAGGCAGAATTTGAACCCAGGTTATTATCCTTTCTCTAAATCCAAGGCTTCTATCCACTATACATTCTCTTGAAAAATGAAATAAATTGCACAGACCACCTTCCAGGAAATAGCCACAAGAAAGATCACAAGAATGTAGTAACAGCAAAATGCAAACCCAAGATGAATAAAATACAAACTAAGATTCAACTCGAAGCTCACTCTTATTTCAAACTTCTTCTCATCAAGCTTCCCCCAGACCCCAGGTGAGAATCTCACTTTTTACAATACTGAGAAAATTGAGGTCATTTGCTGTTGGCTTTCTCTCCCCACTTACTTCTCAAAACTCCCTGACATTATCCTTGGCTCTCTTTTCCTTTCCTCCAGTCTTTTTCTCCCCCAGTTACACGTAAAGACAATTTTTAACATTCATTTTGAAAAAATTTTGAGTTCCAAATTTTCTTTCTCCCTCCCTCACCTTCCCCTTTCCTGAAATGGTAATTTGATACAGATTATACATGTTCAATCACGCAAAACATATTACCATATTATTCATGTTGTGAAAGAAGACAAATCTAAAAGGGAAAAAAACCCATGGAAAAAATACAGAAAGTAAAAAATAGTATGTTTCAATATGCATTCAGACTCCATCAGTTCTTTCTCTGGAGATGGATAGCATTTTTCATCATGACTCCTTTGCAAATGTCTTAGATCACCACATTGCTGAGAACAACCAAGTCATTCACAGTTGACCATCATACAGTACTGCTGTTACTATGTACAATGTTCTCCTGGTTCTGCTCACTTCACTTTGCATCAGTTCATATAAATCTTTCCAAGTTTTTCTGAAATCAGCCTGTTAATTATTTCTTATAGCACAGGAATATTACATTACAATCAAACACCACAACTTGTTCAGCCATTCCCCAACTGATGGGCATCCTCTCAATTTCCAATTTTTTTGCCACTACGAAAAGAGCTGCTATAAATATTTTTGTATAAATATTTCCTCCAGTCTTTGACAAGATTGTCCTTCTTGCTTACATTAACTTTTCTATATATGTCCTTGATCCCATATCCTCTCCCCTCCTGTCCTCTAGTAGACCGATCCCTCAGTCACCACTCCCTATCTTTAATTTCTCCCCATCTTCTCACTAGTTCCTTCCTTCTCTATGGCCTTCAAACAAACATGTCTATACTTATGCACATGTCATCTTGTTCAATAGTATAAAAGTTTCTGGCAAGAAGGGATTGCTTCATTTTTTCTTTGTATCCCCAGCACCTCTTACAGTGCCTTAAACTTAGGAGGTACTTGATAAATGCTTTTTGCATATACAGGTATGGTAGGAAGATTACAAGGACAATGGATCATGGACGGAAAGCCAGGCCATGCAAATGCAATAAACAATACAGGAGGGGGTTGATCCAGGGCTGATGTTGGAATGGCATCTGGGGAGAGGAAAGAGAGGACAGACTTTTTAAACTAATACTTTTTGTTTTTTACATCATATTAATCTCTAAATATATTCTCTCTGCCCTGCCTTCCCCCCCACCCCCAAAACACCAAGGACAGCTAGGTGGCAAAGTGGATAGAGAGCTGGGCTTGCATTCAGGAATCTTCCTGAGTTCAAATCTGGCCTCAGACACTTACTAGCTGTGTGACCCTGCAGAAGTCATTTAACCCTGTTCACTCCAGTTTCTCATCTGTAAAATGAGCTGGAGAAGGAAATGGCAACCCACTCCAGTATCTTTGCCCCAAGAAAACCTCAAAAGGGATCACGAAGAATTAGAAATGACTGAAAAACAACTGAACAACCACCACCAAACAACCCAGTGAGCTATCCCTTCTAATAAAATCAAAAAAGGAGAAAAAAGGTACTTCAGCAAATCGGTCTGACCATATACAACATTCGATGCCTAAAATTCCCTTCTTCCTTCCCTCAACTTCCTGGCTTCCTTCAAGTCTGAGCTAAAATCACACCTTCTGCAAAAAGTCTTTCTCAGTCCTCTTTTATGTTAGTTTCCATCCTTCTAAGCTATCTCCAATTTAGCTTATATATGATGTTTTGAGAGTTTCCCAGCCTGGTTCCTTGAAAGCTCAGGGAGAATCTTATCCATTATCGTATCTATAAAGCTGGGGGTCAAAAGTAAATAGTCAGACTAAACAGAAAAGAAATTTACTAGTGCACTAAGAAAGACTGCTTAGGCTGGCTGCAGCTCCAACCCTTTACAGCACAGACTGGATTTTTATAGCTTTTTAAGACTTGCTCAGAGTACGGTGCCACTTATTGGCATTCTGTGGCAGAAGTGGGGAAATGTGCAACTCTTGAGGTCACAAAAGCTGTTAAAGGTCAAGTTTGTTCCTAAGCAAAATGCATTTCTCTTGAGGTTAGTCTTATCAGATTTCCCTATACAGGCAGGAATCTCTAGGATGATGGAGGCCTCTTTTAAAATAGTCTGTTCATCCTATCGTTGCCAATAGGAAGCAAGTCAAGTACAAACCCTTGAGCTCTGTTTCTTTGGTCTCAGAGGTTACTTTATCTAAGGGAAACATGTTTTTTCCAAACTCACAGTACTCAGGTTCATCTACTTCCTCCATAACATCAAGTTTTGGTGTAGGTGATTGCAAGCTATCTCTCTCATTGCAATATGAGTTCCTAGAGGGCAAGGACGGTTTCTGTTTTCCTTTGCATCCCCAGGGCAAGTGTCTGGCACACAGTGAGGGCTTAATAAATGCTTGGTGAGTTGAATATTTCATACTTGTTGGGTCCCACTTCTGCAATGAGGGGAAAAAACTACACATTCTCAATTCATCTCCAAGGCCAATTCTGATTATACAATGTTCAGTTTTGTTTTTCTGTTTTGTTTACATTACTGCAGGCATTGTGTGTGTACATATATATATATATATACACACACACATATATATGTATATACATATATACACATATACACACACACACACATACACATACACACACACACACACACACATATATATACACACATACATATGTATATATATACATTGCTTTCCTGGTTCTGTTTACTTCAGTCTGTATCAGTTTATGTAAGTCTCCATATTTTTCCAAGTCTCCATATTTTTCCCAAAACAGTAATATTCTATTATATTCATGCATCACATTTTCTTTAGCCACTTCCCAATCCATGGGAACTTTGTTTAAAATTCTTTGCTACCACAAAAATCCTGCTATGAATATTTTGGTGTACATGAGACCTTTCTTTCTGTTTTTTGCTTCCTTAGGATATATACCTAACAGTAGGATCTCTGAGTCAGAGGGCATGGACATTTTAGTCACCTCTAAAGCAAAATCTCAAATTGCTTTTAGAATGGTTGGACCAATTCACAGCTCTACCAATAATGCATTAGTTTGCCTGCCTTCCCACAGCCCCTCTAATACTCTTTCCATCTTCTGTCTTCTTTACCAATTTGCTGGGTATGTGGTGAAACTTCAGTGCTATTCTGATTACTTTTCTCTTATTATTAGTGATCTGGAATAGTCTTATATGGCTATTTAGTGTTTGTAATTCTTTATCTTCTGACCACTTATCCCCTGGGAATGGCTCTTGGTCTTACGGATTTATGTTAATTTCCTATGTATATTGGATATCAAACCCTCATCAGAGATATTTAATGTACTGTTTTCGTTCATGTGAATGTTTTTCAATTTCATGTAATTGAAGTTATCTATTTTGCCTTTTGAGATGAAAGAATGAAATTTTCTAATACGATGAGATCAGTGAATGGGAAGTAGCTTCATATAAGAGCATATATCTAGAAGAAGAGAAAACTTTTAACAATCCATGCAGAGAAAACTCATTCTCCATACATATGTGTTAGAGCTATGTGGGTTCATTAAACTATCTGGATAAATCCAGGCTTATTCTAAGTTCCTCTTTTACCTTAGAAGGCCATGTGAGGGTGGGATGCCATGGCACAATAGACCAGTTGTCCCACTGACAATTCTTTTTTTTTGTTTTGTTTTGTTTTTGTTTGTAGGCAATTGGGGTTAAGTGACTTGCCCAGGGTCACACAGCTAGTAAGTGTCAAATGTTTGGTCTGAGGCCACATTTGAACCCAGGTCCTCCTGACTTCAGGGCT